ATCATTTAAACGATAAATGTCCCAGACGATTGTGCCAAATTTGTGAAGACACATTATTTACATTTGAAATTAGGGATTACAAGTAGTAACAACAGTAATATATGGACTAGAAATGAAACAATAGGCAGAATCAATGACATAAAGATTAGCCACTTTGTTATCCCTGCCAATCATCTTCAAAGTGTGTGTTTCCTGAATGATACAACAGTATGTAAGAAACTTGACTTGAAGAGAAGAATTTCTTGTCAGAGAGGTAACAGATAACAAGTTAAAATGGAATTGTGGAACATAAAGAACATTATACAATATCAATGAAGGACTGAGTTGAATTGATCCAGAAAAATTAACTTGTATGCGAGAGTTGTTTGGAAGGGTAACAAATGAATTTGAAATGGGGACTATATTTTGGAATAGGGACTGATCAAAGCACACATGATTTATAGCACCAGAATCAACTATCCAATGTCTAGAAGAATGAAGCATCGGATTATTAGAAACAGAGAATGAGATACCTGATGTGTGTGTTGATTTCACATCAGTCCCTGTATCTGCTTTGGCTGATGCTAGATGGGAGTTCAACATGGCTAATATGTGCTGATATTGATTGGAATTTAAGGTTTGAACAAAATCATCTATGTTCCCTTGATGATTAGAGGATTCTGAGATCTGGTTTGCTACTGCATTAACCGTTTGATTAGGGGAAGTAACTTTCTTTCTTGCCTTGTACCCAAGAGGATAACCATGAAGCTTATAACATTTGTCCATAGCGTGGCCTGTAAATCCACAATATGTACAAATTGGACAATCCTTTTTCTGATATTTATCGAAATGTTGGTTGCAATTGGATCGATTACCTTCATTTTTTATGTAAAAAGCCATAGGATTACTCCCAGTTCTTACCACATTATTCATAGTCCTCTGATGCTCTTCTTGAGAAACAAGAGCAAATACCTTGTTGATTGGGAGGGGGGTATAGGACCCATAAGAAATATTTGGCTACGTGTTTGAGCAAATGAATTATGTAGCCCCATCAAAAATGACATCACATACTCAGTTTGATAGTGATTTGCAAAAGCCTTAATTCCTCCACATGTACACTTTTCACATGAGCAAAATGGTCTGTAATTGCTCAATTCCTCCCAGATTGTTTTCAATTTAGTAAAATAAGCACCTATAGTTAGTTGAGACTGAGCATGATTCATCAGATCACGCCTCAACTAGAAAATGCACGGGCCATTTTTCTGCTAAAATCTCTCCTTAAGATCCTTCTAGATTTCATAAGCTGACACTTAATAGATAACACTCGCTGATATTTCCTGGGACACAGAATTGAGTATCGAAGAGTATCGAGGAGATGACTATGTTGTTATTGCGAATCCAAGCATTGATCAGATTGTCATTACCTTCAGGTTTTGGGATAGATCCATCGATGAAGCCTAATTTGTTCTTCACGGACAAGGCTATCATCATACTTCTACTCCAAGAGGCATAATTGTCACCAACTAATGGCTGAGAAACCAATATAAGCCCTGGACTGTCTGAATGATGAAGGTAATAAGGACTCAATTCATCATCAATGATTGAATTACTCCCTGAAGAAGCTGAGTTTTCTGAATTTTCTAGTAAAATCGAAGCATCAGTCGCCATGGAGATGATGAACCAGGTATCAAAAGGAATTTGGATTTAATGATCGGTGCAACCAGAACTCTGGGGAAGAAGAGGAATCAATAATATTTGCTCCGATACCATATTGATTCTAGAGAGAAAAGATGAAAGAAAGGCGGGTAAATGAATTCATTTCACTGAAGAATGAAAAATGTGAATTACAGTTGATAACTACCTATATAAATAACTAAAGTAACAATATTACAGTTGGAATTAACAGAAAGCTAGCTGGCAAGTGAAATATCTATGTCTAATATAGAGATCTGCAGAAATGGGAAATTAGTAAGAAGTCCGGACTTATATGATATGTATTAAATCTGAATGCATGTATTCAAGAGCAATAATAATCAGAATATTAACAAAGCACACAAAGATTTATAGTGGTTCGCCCTTATTGTGAGAGCTACGTGTACTTGTCCACTTAGTTTTCACTATATTGGAGAAGAATACAAGTTTCATGTCTTCTTGCATACAAAAACTGCCCCTAATAAATCTTTCATTACTAGGAAAATTAGGTCAAGCTGTAGTTGAGAGGGTAATTGAGGACGGTATGATTAGACTCCATACGGTAGACTCCATACGGTCCAACATAACACATAAAGGCATATCCAAGCAGACAATCATACCGGAAAATTGGTAAATGTTGAATTCCCTCAATACTTCAATGCACTAAATTATAGGATCTTGCTGCAGTTTCCTTATCATCATAAGCTCCTGAAGAATTTTGATAATTAAATTACCTTATTTGTAGAACTCTTAAAGAAGCAGCAGTGGAAGCATGCGGCCATATTTCTTTGTTTGCGCTTGACACATATCACGTCAGGGACATCACTTTCCACTTTGTGTACATGGAGCTTTCGACTAATTACTTCTGTTTTTGCCATTGCCATATTATGTAAGAAAACTTTGTTTTTTTTCCTTCTTATATGCTCCTTTAGTGTGTTCCATATCTTTCTGAATTTCTAAGAATGTAATATCATGTGTATGTATATAAAACCTTTGCGCTTCTTTTGGTTTTATGTGATTTGTCTTTGATTGTTACAAATGGAATTTAAATTAAGACAGGACCAGCGATGGAAACTATAGGTAGTTGTAATATTAAGACAAATATTTCCTGCCAGCTTTGGGAACCAAATTATGCTTCATGGTTTTGTAGTGGCTTTATGATGTAGAAATTTCATGTAATTACGTGAAATTATTAAGCCCCTGTTTAGTGGAGACTTCCTTAGCGAATACCAGCGCCATCCTCAGACATTGAAGTCAGTCGGAGATGTAGATTCGATACAAGCCCCATAAGGATCATAATTGAGAATCTGATTTTTAATAGATTTTGATGAAAGTTAATGAAATGTTTGATTGAAAAGTTGTGGGTTTCTTAAAATGTGTGTTAAAAATTAATTATTGACTTTGATTTAGATTAAAACCTGAATTTTAATTTCTATCAAACATGGGCTAAAGACGAGTAATTGGAGATGAGATAAATTTTGTTTATTTATATGCATTATATAAATGAATTTTTCAATTGCTTCCAGATTTCCCCCCTTTTTTTATGTGATAGGTCCTAGAAAGACTATAATAGAAATATATTCATGCTAGAGCATTTCTTGGATTCTTCATCCAAAGTCAGTTAATTTTTATGCTGTTAAGGTTGGAATTCAGTTTGTTTCCAACACGCGATGTTTTCAATGGAATCAAAAGATGTAATATTGTTCCAAATATTTTAAAAGAATGAAAATTTTTTGCAAAGGAATGAAAATGAATGGCAAGGTGACACTGACAGGACAATAGAAATTTTTTTATTATCATATCTCCAATCCCTCTTTTCATCTCTTTTTTTCTTTCTGTCTTGAACCAGAAACACTGGCTAGTGAGAAAGATGGCGTATTCCTATTGTAAGATTTTGGAGCTCCAATCAACACCAAACCGGGCTCAGCTTCACCAAAACCGACACCACAATCGACACCAATAAATCCCAATCAAACCTTCCCAATCCGGCTGCTTCTTGACTGCCCACAAAGGGCAGGGTGTAGATAGTATAATAGCCTCAATAATTAGCCACCAAGGCTAGGAGAAGGAGAAGAAAAAAGGTCAGGCACAAAGCCACGCTCCCACCTCGCAAAACTCACGGCTACTACACTTCTCTCACACCCTCACACACTAGAAACCGGGTAGCATATATGTGGAAGAGATGGGCTTTTAGGTTAACACAATTAGAGGCCCAATAGGTAACAAGTTAGTGGGATATCCATCAAAAAGCCTTCCAAGGTGTCGGGTTGGGCCATGAGCAACTCTAACTAATTAGACTGCTTCTAATGGTCCAAAAAAGGTTGTGGGTTCGGTCCGAACAATCGTGGTGTCGATATTCACTTCACTCATCGGCCGAAGTCTATGAAGTATAATTCCAACAAAACGGTTTAACATCATAGCCCGGATTTATTGGGTATCAAAAAACCCAACACCTATTTAAGATGAAAAATATTTTATTTCCTTGGTTCTTAAGTATTTCATACATTCCTTTATAAACAAGGTTGATCGTCATAGTCTACACCTCAAATCTCAGCTGAAAGTGTGACCACACCTGCAGTTCCAACCTGAAAACTCCTTTTCCAAATCCATTTTTAAAAAATTGAAAAAAGGAAATTGGAAAAATCTGAAGAATATTTCTCTTATATTTTGCCATTGAAGCAGTTTGAACTTGCCGTAACACACTATTATTGATCAACTTATATTCTGGTCGACATCAGTGTATAAATATGGTCCGTCCAAAGACAAAAGGGATGGTTCTTGCAGCCTATTTTGGTACACTGAACTAAACTCTTTATTACACTGCTAGTGAAAGATGAACATTGTTAAGTTATTATGCCTTTGTTTGTGGGAATTAAAATCAGATTTTGAGAAAAGTTGATGTAGTTGAAAAGTTGTAGATTCTATAAAGTGCGTGGTTAAAATTAGTTGTTAACTTTGAATCAAGGGTGAGACAATTTTAAAAAATTTATTTAGTTCTCTTACTTACCCTTCTTGCATAAATTCCTCTTTGCTCTTCCATGGATTATTCTCTTTTCTCCCTTTGATTATCCCTTTTCTTTTTCTTTATGCAAAGGATTAAAATGGTTCTATAGTTATTCAAATTACTCAATTGGAGAAGAAAATTTTATATTATACAAAAAGGAAACCAAGGGGAATTTTTTTCGAAGGAAATTCTACCCCTTGCAAAACTTTTTCTACAAAATTTTATCACAATCTACGAAATGCTCTATTTCACAAGTTCTCCTGCATCATTGTTTGTACACAAGGAAAGATTTTAAAATATCATATGTGCTGCAGGGAAATACTTATTAGAAGATAGTCTCCGTGTTTATGATGCTATTCCCAAATATGTTTGTACTATCATAGTTGAAATGGAGGTTACGTTGCAACTCGATGCAGGGGACATGGTAAAGGATCCCTCCATATTCATCGTCGCTACTCACGAGGGACAAATCCTTTGTGTTTTCACCATCACTTTCTTCCTCTGATACATGTGCATTCTTCTCAACAAGTTCTCTAAATACTGAAGACCGAAGGAGTAGGCCAAGTGCTGTCGGCTTCGAGGATGAGGTAACTGGGATTTTTCTTCCTAACATTTCTTGTTTGCCCATGTCATTGAGACTCACAGCTTTTGTTTGTGATTGAACAGTTGAAAAAAGTGGCTGAGACTCCGTGTTTGGCTTAGTATCCTGAGCAGGAACCCAAGTGTTTGTTTCTGGCTTCAACCAGCTGATGTAGGCACTCAGATCAAAGTTTGTGACAGCATTGATCCCTCTGTATTCAATTGCTGCAATGTCATAGGCTCGAGCAGCCTCTTCTTGGGTACCTATGGATTGACATATAATCTTTGTTAGAGATTAAGCCCTAATGAAAAACAGAATAAAATTGAGAATAAGCGAAGCCAATGCACAAATTTATAGTAGTTCACTCTCAAAGTGAGAGCTATGTCGACTTGCCGCTGCAAGTTTTTCAAAAGGGTATGGATTATCTCACGTGTCTATGTTCGACCTAATAATCCTTTATTTATAGTAGGACCATTAGGATGGCCTAATACATGTATGGACTATCCAATATACTACATGTATTAGATCAATCCGCAGTTGAAGGTATAATTGTACTGACTAAGCTCCGAATATTGGAAGTTGACTTACTGTAAGTGCCAAGGTAGAGGTATTTATTTCCAAAAACTCTCCCTATCCTTGCTTCCCATCTTCCACTGTTATGGTGTCTGCATTTTTAGCCAATATCATATTTATAATAATCTGTTATAATTAACAATTTGATTCTTTATATGGTTCTAGATGATATACCTAGCAACTCCTCTGTACTTGGAAACTCCTCTTGAAAAACCACTACTCTTTCTGCAATACAAATTCAAAGTTTTGGTTATATGTTGTATCCATGTGACAAATGAAAAATCCTTATTGCATCAAACAAGATGGTTAAAATTATACCTCCTGAGTGACGCTAGGTACTCTTCTTTCGTGACAGTCTGCATATATTCAAGTTCTTTCTCGTAATCAGAGACCTGCAGAAAAGGGGAATTGATAATAAGTTGTCCGAGCCTTGTATCACATGGATTAAACCTTAATCCCTACTTTCAAGAACAAACATAATTAGAAAGAGCAAAGCATGCAAAGATTTATAGTGGTTTTCCCTTGACGTGAGAGCTACATTTACTTGCCCCTGCAGGTTTTTATAGTAATGAACACAAAACGGCCCCCTTAGTAAATCCTTCATACTTTAGGAAGTTAGGTTGATCCGTGGAAGAATAAGTTTACATTAGGCTAAACATTCCAGACCATAATATATTTGCATGCACACAGTCTGATGTAGACATATAGAGGACAATCCTACCGGAAAATTTGTAAAGGTTGATGTCCCCCAATACTTGAGTGCAGCTAAATCATATGCTCTTGCTGCATCTTCATCGTCATTATAAGCCCCTGAAGAATTTTGATAATGAAAATTACCTCAATTGTATGTCTTAAAAAGGTGTTTTCGTGTGTGTGTGTTGGGTTGGGGGGGTAATGTACTCACCAATATATACTGTTCATTACGAATTTTTGCATCCAAGAACAGTCCATGAAACAAAAACAGAAGATTTTCTTCATCAGACACTAGTATTCAAGAAAAAACACAACTAAAAGAGTTGCATAAGTTTTACTGTAAAATTCTACCTTGTTTTCCCTTTTTCTTCCGAGACACATTCCATGACATTTTATCCCACAAGTGCGCTTCATATCGCCCCGTCCATCGATGCCTGCTGACACCTCGAAATTTTGAACTTCTTTTCACAGTTGTTGGAGAACAAATGGGATCAACATGTATATGTTGAATAGCACAGCCAGGAGCAGTGGAAGCGGCCATATTTCTTCGTCTACGCTTGACACACTTCACCTCAGGGATGTCGCCTTCCACTGCACATAAGGGGCGCCTTCGACTGATTTCTCCTGTTTTTGTCATTTCCATTGCTATTTCCATACCCTGTAAGAAACTCTCTATTCTTACTTCTTATGTTCTCCTTTGGTGTGTTTTTTTCTTCTTCTTTTTTTCTGCCTTTGTTTGCCTGAACTTCTAAGAATGTAATATCATGTGTGCATGTATTTATAACCATTGTGCTTCTTTTGTTTTATTATGTTTTCTCTTTAAATGGATTTTAAGTTAAGAACCAGCGATGGAAACTATGGGTAGTTGCAATATTAAGACAAATATTGCCAGCTAGCTTTGGGAACTAAATTATGCTTCATGGTTTTGGAGTGGCTTTATGATGTAGACCATGATATGTAATTATGTGAAATTATTAAAGACTGAGTAATTATATCTGTATTTTTATTTTTTACAAAGACCATCCTTGCAGGTTAAATTCATTTCTTCTTCACAAATCGCATAAAACTTTCATAAATGAGCGGCGACAGCTTGAACACAAGAGGTTCACCATGTTTGATGCCATATTTGAACGTCATCTCATTTGAAAGTCGATGCTATTAAAGATAGGTAACCATGACCTGAGAAGCCAAAATTAATATTTTCTTTAATTATCTATATTGGTGCCACCTTCACCTTTTGACAGAGGTACTCATTTTTAAGTTATCGTGCAACATGCCGTCTCAATGACCTTATGATGTAGTCATGAGTTTATCGAGCTTTTAGTGCCTTGCTTGTGCGTGGCTAGGAAGTTGGACACAATTTAAGTCTTACCAACCTCTCTTATCACCTGCCTGCGATTGTGCACCTCAAACTGCAGTGGTCTTGAATAGCAATTTTTTGACAAAGCAATTCTCGTGTCAAGAATGCCGTCAAGGCAGTTTGGTAGTTTTGAGGAAATCTAACCCGAGGGAAGACTTTAGCCAGGGGCTCATTGTAGAAAGACTAGAATTTCTTGGATTCTTCGTCCGTTTATCTCTTTAGTTTATTTGCTTATTAAGTTTGTCTGTTACATGCGGCTCTTGAGGGCGATGCATTCTATGGAATCAACTCATATAATATTCTTCCAAATGTTGTAGAAGTTTGAAAATGTTCTTCCAAGAGTGAGAATAAGTTACAGGCCGACAGTATGGGACAAGGCTTCACCATACCTTGTGTTTAGTATCTGATCTACGTATATTAGTTTGAAACTTGGTTCAGCACAAAAGACATCCATATTTGTTTGTTACTTGGCATTCATCTTTTGACCTTCGTGTTTAATGAACGACTGGTGAGTTGTCTCGTTAGGTAAGATGTGGCATAAAATGGTCATTTAGAGTATCTCTAATCTTAATGTAAAATAGATATAAATTGTGATTTAGGTCTCTAAACTGGTCGAAAACCTCTCCAATGAAGAGATGCAAAGGAAATGTAAATTGCATTTTCCGACAAAAATGTAAAAAAAATACGAAAAATATACACCTTTTTTTTTTGCCTCCGCGAAAGGTAAAAAGTGGATTTAAATCTTTTATCGGAGCAAAATTTGAATTTAGATTCATCGAAATGTAAATGAGGAGATAAAAATGGTTTTGAAGATACTAATTTACACCACAATTGGAAATGCGCATTACTCCTGAGAAGATTTGAGTGTAGCAGCATTAGTGGAACTCATTACTGCTGAGAAGATTTGAGCTCACATGAGGCAAGAAGACTCAACCAAGCCAAGGTGAGCATAAGCCTAGGTCTGGGTGGAGGAAATATAAATATTGACCAAGTAAAGGTTTTTAAATAAAGTTATATTTATAAGCCAATATTTGATTTAGATAAAAATTTGATTTTTAGCAAATTTCGATAAAAGTTGATAGAATATATTGTTGAAATGTCGTAAAATTCCATTAAATGTATTGTTAAAATTTAATTTTGACTTTTACTTAGATTCTAATTTATTTTTTTAGTGGAACCAAACAAGGGATTAAATACATATAAATAATTTTAGAATTAAACTAGTTGTACATTCTTTTTGTACAACAAGTTTGACAAGCCTTGATGCTTCAAAATCATGGGCATTGATTTGAAAATGTGTTATTCAAATCAAGGCGTTTTATTAACGACGTTTCAAGAGAATTAATTGTTGAAAATTTTTGATAATTCCAGTTAATTTAAGAGAGAAGTTTAAACCTTTAGTGGATATAGTCGAAACTAATTAATTAATCATGAACAATCAAGAGCAGGTGGATACAAAAAATAATTAATTGGAGCTTAAATCAATTATGTTCTATCAAGTCTCTTCAGTGGCTTCAAAATAAGAGGTGTGGTTAAAATATACGAGTTATAATTTGACGAGGACTACACAATTAAATATCTAAAATTAATATGGACAGATTAGGTGATATTACAATTATCAAAATTATTTCAATGAATCTAAGCATTCATATTGTCTATATACATTTGTAATCTTTTAAAGAATTGAAAGGTTGTAATAAAAGGAAAATTATGGAAAAAGAAAAATGAACATTTCCTTTTCTATTTCAATTTAGTTTTATTATAATGTGAATTATTCACATTATTGACGATTGAAACTATTCATTAAATAGTGCTCATTGTTAAGATATGGTTAAAAAATATAAGACACTTTAAACAACAAATCTGAAACAGTAAACTACAAAAACTGAAAGAAAGCGTAAAAACACGAAGATTTTCGCCATAAGGCAAGAGGTTGAGAACCGGAGTTCATAATCCCCTTTTGAGCTTTCGTCACTGGAAGAAATCACTATAAACCGGAATCAATCAACTGTCTAGAATACACTTCACGACACTCAGAAAAAATTACTCAATATCACATCAACACAGGCCTCTCTGATCAGTACAACCATTCATTCAAGAATAACAGCTATGAACACTATACAGATCACTCAAGATCTATACAAAGTTGGAAGTATTTCAAATAAAAAAAAAGTTATCTATTCAGAGTGAGAGAGAGAGAGAGAGAGAGAGAGAGAGAGAGAGAGAGAGAGAGAAAAGTCATCTCAATCCAATCCTTAGTGAAGAATAATATGGAAGTCATCAGAAGGTCATCCAATCCAACGGTAATTGCGATGACACTTGGCGACATCTGGGTTGTCCAAATCCAATAAAGAAATCGTATTTCACCAAAGAACACACCTTAATCAAATAAGGTAGTAGTCACCAAGTAACTAAAGAACCCAGCCCAAACAGTCCAACAAGTTAGCAAAACCAGCCCAACAAGTCAGCAAAACAGGTAACATCATTGTGCCATTTTCTCCACAATCTCTACCTTGGTACAATGAATCCAGTTTCAATTATAGTGATTCCTCCAAACATGGCATCATTTGCTTTTATTCCTGAAACACAAATCAGTAAGTGTTAATATTCAGCTGACTTAAACAGTCCAGAAACTTGTTTAAAGGCAGCACTTTAGTACCAATATCACCTTGGTTAAAATGAGTAGAAATTTTTTAAAGTTTCACAACACCTTGTGATATAACATCTCTAATAAAGTGATATTTAATATCAACATGTTTAGATTTATTATGTAAAACATGATTTCTACTCAAATATATGGCAGAATAGCTATCAGAACATAAAACAACATCTTTAACAAAATCAAATTCATTTAAGAGTCCTTTCAGCCGAATTCCTTCTTTTATAGGATTAGTTGCAACGTATATTCTGCCTCACTAGAAGACAATGCAACAATCTTTTGTAGTTAGGATTTCCAACATATGCAAGAATTACATAAAATATATACATAGGCAAAAAAGTGAATTTCCTATTATCTCCATCACCTGCATAGTCAGAATCTATATAATCCCTCAAGATAACACCAACTGATTGTTTTCTATATTGTATTCCCGAGTCACAAGTTCCCTTAATGTATCTAAGAAGTCATTTCATAACTTCCCAATGAGCTTAACCTGGATTGGACATACATCTACTCAATACACGTATTGAGTCTGCCAAATTAGGTCTAGAACAAACCATTAGATACATAGCAGACCCAACTGCATTAGGATATGGCACTCTTGCCATTCTTTTAAACTCATCTTCAGATTTGAGACATTGATTCATTTCATAGCTTCCCAATGAGCTTAACCAGGATTGGACATACATCTACTCAATACACGTATTGAGTATGCCAAATTAGGTCTAGAACAAACCATTAGATACATAGCAGACCCAACTGCATTAGGATATAGCACTCTTGCCATTCTTTTAAACTCATCTTCAGATTTGAGACATTGATCATTTGAAAGTTTAAAATGATTTGCTAAAAGTAAACTCACACTTTTAGCATCAGACATAACAAATTTTTTCAATAATTTCAAAACATAAGATTTTTTTACTGAGATTTAATGTGCCCTCTCTTCTATTTCTTTTAATTTCAATACCTAAAATCTTTCTAACAAGATCTAAGTCCTTCATTTCAAATTCTAATTTTTTTTTAATTGACTCTATCTCTTTTATGTCATGACTAGTGCATGTCATCAACATAAAGTAGAAGATAGAGTGAATTCTCACCTCCACTTCCTTTGCAATAAAGATAGGAATCAAAATTACTCATTTTAAAACCAAGTCCAAGCACAAAAGTATTAAATCTCTTGTACCATTATCTTGGAGTTTGTATTAAACCATATAAAGACTTTTAAGAAGGCATACTAAGTCTAAATTTTTGTTTACTTCAAGAACTTTAGGTTGTTCCATATAAATAGTTTCATCAAGATCACCATTTAAAAAGGTAGTTTTTACATCCAATTGATCCAATTCCCAGTTAAACTGAGCTGCCAAAGCTAATATTACTCTAACAGTTGTACATTTACAACTGGAGAAAAGATTTCATTGAAATCTATTCATTCCTTTTGCGTAAAACCTTCTGAGTTGCTAAGGCTAGAATCACTCTAACAGTTGTAAATTTTACAACTGGAGATAAGATTTCTTTAAAATCTATTCCCTCTTTTTGAGTAAAGTCTTTAGCCACAAGTCTAACTTTGTATCTAATGTCATTTTCAGTTTGTTCTCCCCTTTTTATATTAAAAATCCAT